CTTCCAACATGACAACGCGATCTCTCTCTCTCCCTTTCTCTCGCCGTCTGGCCGGCCAGTCTGTCGCAGTTGCACTTTGCTTGTGCGCTCGTGCCGAAGTTTCGCCCGTCCAAACCAAAGCGCACGGTTCTGACTCAGAAAGCGCGCCCGGAAACAGCAAAAACGCCACGAAATGCGTCACATCCGCAGCCGCACGACCTACAGGCGCAAAAAGAAGCGTTGGTTTGGATCGCGCTTAAAGGGGTACTCCACCGATTTTTTGAGCTACCTCAACTAACTATATTTTCTGACTCCCCGGCCTTTACTCTCTCCGGTATGCTATTTAGAATCGCGAAATTCATAATAGTTATTGCGAAATCGGCAAATGAAAATGATGCAAAAACCAACATTCAAATATACGCGCGCTTTTCAGGGCCGTGACGTCAGTGGCAGGCAGGCTTGCCAGTCGAGCAAGCAGCCAAAAAATAGAATATGGCAATCATTTGTTCCGTGCTGGAGCGCGGGTACTGCAGCGAGCTTCCCAAGCATTCATTTGACACCATGACACTGCTTCGAATCAGTTTAAAACGAAATCTACAGCCCAAAGAGTGAACCCCTGCCTTCCACTGACGTCACTTTTTCATTGTTGCCAGTAGAGACTTCGAGCTTGAAAAACACGGTGAGGACCAAAACTGTAAATTCAATAACTTCGCGAAAAAAACAATATTTTGACCTAAAATTTGGGATACTATTTTCGCTATGTTTGTTGGTTAGTTTAGCAAAATTTCAAGCAAATCGGAGACAATGAAAAAATCGGTGGAGTAGCCCTTTAAAGGTGGCTTTCTCTTGCACGGCGGCGGATGCTTTCCTCCTCACGTGATAGATCTCGGCGAATAGCGGCGTGGCGGCGCGGGGAAAACAAATGCGCAACTCTGCTCCCCCTTCGTGGGAGCATATCGAGGAACTCTAGGCCGGAGAGACTGCATGCGCCATCTACCAGCTCACTCTGGAAGCTTATGCAGCTGCTGCTCCGAAACAATCACCGATGCGTGACTCGGCAATAAAAAAAAACGCTTTTTGATTTGTTTGTTGTTGTTGTATAAAGAAGGTGGCCTTTATTAGAGAAACTGCAAGATCACCGAGATATGGTAGCCCGGCATGGTAAATGCGTAGATGTCACTAAACAGAGTGGAAAAAACAACAAAACAAACAAGTAAAAATTTAAAGCGTGGGTGATAAAGGAACGAGGAGGTCGTGCGATAATTGTATCGGGGAGCGGCGACAATCCCTAGAAGAGCCGGCTTATTCTCTGCGGCATCATTGATTTAATCGCTAGACAGCTCTGGTATCAGCTTCGGCCACCGCTCCCGCGTTATGTTTAACAGTTGAGCACGCTGTACATCAAGTACTTGAATGTCCTTCTGAGCTGCTTCGTCAATCGAGTAAACGCCACAAACCTGCCAAAGTCGCTGGGAATTAAAAGAAATGCGAAAGCAAAAAAGGTCACACAGTGCCAGCAGGTAGGGGATTGCGGGTCCATATCACAAGAGCGAATGACATTTTAGCGAACGGCGACATTTGAGCGAATGGTCGTTTTAGCGAATAACGGGGGCGCGCGTTAACCCATCCGTCGCGCTGACGCCGCTTCGCGGCGACAGTCTGCGGCAACTCATTACAAAAATATGAACTCACTTGGCCCACCCGAAAACGCCGCTTCGCGGCGTCCGACTATTCGCTAAAGTGTCGTTCGATGAAACGTGGGCGTTCGCTAAAACGTCATTCGATCAAGTGAGTGCCTCCCGGGGATTGCAGCGTGCGCCTCTTCTTTACCGGGCAGTGTGAGAGCTGGACTACGTTATTCCTTTTCCCTGTTCTCTTTTTAGTTCCTACCTACGCCGCGAAAGCAAACAAACGTACGTGTAACGAGCAGCTAAATAAAATAAAAGTGAAGTTTCTTTCTTGATTAGTTTCGTCGTGTTGCTTCCACTTTGTTTGCAGTGGACTCAACACCGACGGCGATCATGACCTGCTCATTTTCAATGCTCCTTTACAGAGATTCCCGAGCTTCTGCTGCTTTCCATTTTTCTTTGCATAAGCACCACAACGACCGTCGTCGTTGAAAATGTTCTTTGCTGGTTGATTTGTGTCTTTGTGTCGTCTGCTTTGTTTTATTCACCGTTGTTTGCGACTGTTCCCCATTTCTTTTTATTTTCACCTGGGATGGGGAACCCATATTTCCTGCAAAGTTCGGAAAGTCATGCACGGTCATTTTCTCGTTACTTTTTCATATTGTTATGCTCCAATGGCTGGTGCGCTTGCTCTCGTATTCTTAACGTGTTGTTTGCGCACATTTTAATGATCACCTATTCAGGTAAAAAATTGTGACAACGCAGTTTGTAACGGATCAACAGTAAGTAACCTCTTACAACGTAATTTGAGTAGCTAGACGCCTTTTTTTTTTTTTTTTTTTTTTCCCCGCTTCCCATATGCGCTTTAAACGCGTATTATCCTCCGAGTGGCGTTTGAGAGTTCTAAATAAACTGCTTTATCTTTGTTTCTGCGCGCGTTGTTGTTTGATTGTCGTTGCAGTTGCGATCAGGGCATTCTGCTTTGCAAGCGGACTGACCGTAATGAACTGTTTCAGCTGCTGGGGTGACGAAACGGGGCTCGCAAAGCTCATTGCGTCGTCTGCTTCCGTAAACTCCGAGTCCGCTAGAGGCGCCACTGTGACGTTCGCCTTCGCCGCCGCTCCCATCGGTTCTCCGAGAAGTTTCCAGCATTTCCAGTCCTTTCCAGTCAGTGTTGCCAGGTCTACTGATTTATCAGTAGATCTACTGATTTCGGTCCGGGTCTACTGATTCACTGAAAAACAAGAAAATCTACTGACTTTTTTTTAGTAAACATATTAAAAATTTATTATGTGGCCCCTTCAGTTCCCAGTGTCGCCCATCAAAGGAAACTTATAATGTCCCAGAATTAAAAGCGAAGCACTGGCTAGATGGCCCAGAAGCCCGTCCTATTCGAGTGACGTAGCCTTATATTCATCTATCTATTCACCCAGAGCAGGTTCGTCAGGTTGGGCAGGTTCGACGGTGACATCCGGGCCAGAGCCATATATTGAGAGAGTTTGGCTAGCCTATGATCTCGCCGTAACGACCCTCTCCCGAGTGAGCCAATCAGCCCGCGGCGCAGAGCGAGAGGTGTTTGCGCATGCGCCTGAACTCTCGGCTGCTCCTATACAATCTACTAGAATAGCTTTGAGTTGAGCGGAGAGAGCCGCAATTTTCATGCATTCATTCGGCGGAATGCATGGGATCGACATCCAAATTTCAGTTATTTTTTTTTTTTTATTTGGCAGGCTGTGGCAAGAAAATGATTTAATCCTATTCCTCGGTATCTTAAAAAGCTAACGAATGAAGTTTCTCCACGTTTGAACGCAAACTTTGGGTCAGGCGAAAAAGAAATAAGCCCGTAGCAGACGACGCGTAGCCTCAACAGTGCTCCGGACCAACAGCATTGCTTCAAAAACCTTCCACAGCCCAGTAAGGAAAGATGGCAGCATGCAGAGGACTTCCATTGGACATGTTCGCGCGCACTTGCCGGAGCGTCTTGTTTCGGTTTCGTTTCAATAATATCGACAGGTGAACGTCGCACTATCGCCTTCATCTGTGATCCCAAAAGTGCCCTCAGTCTCGATTTCAAAGAATAATGCTCGAAACAGTCAATAATGACTAAAACCAAAACATTTATGGAGCCATTTTAATTTGTCCTTTATATAAAGTTACTCAAGAACTCGTCTTGTTTTTTTGTTTTTTTTTATTTGTGTTTATTACCATGTTATTTGTTACTCTATATTATTTCTTCGAAGTGTGTATTAATGGAGATAGCAAAACATGGCAAAACACATATTTCGTGGAATCTACTGATTTTTGTGCAAATCTACTGACTTTTTGGGGATCAATCTGCTGACTTTTTTTTTCTCCATCTGGCAACACTGTTTCCAGTGTTGGCAAAGCTTTGGCTGCTCTGGGCTATGTTCCAAATCTTACCCGAGTAACCTGCCTCCTACGTCAGCGGGTAATACCACGTGACATCGCGAGTAAACGATCCGCGACTCGATTTTGGAACGGCCATGATAATCACCTGGATACTACGAGGATTGGCTTCGGCTTTTCTGCCATCGCAGCAGCGACGGCAGAAAATAGCAGACGATCGAGACGATCCTTTTGATCATGGAGGAAGCACCCGAAGAACGGTAATGTTAATGACGACGCGGTGTATTTTGAGGTGGATCCACCAGCTCCTTTTACTCACCTTCGTTTTGAGCTGTATATTGAGATCAAAATTACTTACTCCTTACAGCTAGACATAAAAAATGTGTTTTTATTAATCAGCGCGATCGCTGCAATTCTAGTCACGGTGCCCTAAACGCATATATTCCACGCATTGTAATTTGCACCGATTATGTTTTGCAGAAATATATTCCACACGGTGTAGCGGTACAGCGCGAGGGTGCTGTACCGCGCGCGTAATGTGCCACCGCACATTACACACACAGCAGCAAATCGCAATAACCACACATGCATCACCTAATTCTTTGTCATTTCGAACGTCCGCCACCGAAACCAATGGAGCAAGCGAGCTTTGACGGCTGTCGGCGCAGAAAGCAGACGACAAACAGATCACGTGACGTATTTACTCGATTTGATCCGACTTTACCCCCCGATCGAGGAGGGTAGCGCGAGTAATTACTCCGGAGTAAACAACCCGCTTCTGGAACGCGAGTTCTGACGTCATCGAGTAAGCTCGAGTAAGTTTTGGAACGCCACGGTACGAAACTTTTACTCCGGAGTCGGATCGAGTAAATTTTGGAACACAGCCCATAGCCGATTTAAAGCCAATTCCAATAAAAATGAATTGGATCCTGAGATCAAGTACGAATTTCGTGTGGAACACCACTGGGAACTTGGAAAAAAAATATCTGGGCGACACCAAGAGAGACACCCAGGAAGGATGTTCAGTGCCGCTGATAGGGCCGTATCCATCTCGCCATCCTTCGGACATCCAAAGTGGCACTAAACCAGGCGCGGGAGGGAAAGGAGGTGAAAGAGGGGTTTTCGCTTATCTGACATTACGCAAGCGGCGACGGGCCCGTCGTGAACACCTGAGACGGCAGGCTACACATAGTTTCGGATTCCACGGGCGTGCGGCTGCGACATCGTGGCAACTGAATTCATCGGAACCACGGGTTCGCGGATGTCGGGTGAGTGCGGTGCGAAACTGTTCCTTTCATTTGACACGGAATTCAATCTCTTACCTTTGCGAGTGGCGTTTGAGAAGGGGAGGTGCGGTGACCTCGACGATGTGTAGTTTCGTCGAACGGCGTTTTAGTCTAGGGCCCTTTCTCGATACATAAGTGCTAGAACACTTCTACTGCGGACACCGACCAAAATAGACAGATGCTCGATTGCTCGCAGGCAACATAGTTCGCGGGGAAGTACCTCAGTGAAACTTTGGTTGGGGCCAGTTAAGTACATATCAATTAAAAGATTAAAAGGCGTGAACTTAAACACGACAAAAAATCATGAGCCATTCCACTAAAGGTGGATGACCAGTGAAGCTGTTTAGCACACGACACAGACGTGACACAGAATTTTTAACAAATTCGGTACGAACACAATTATTGTCCTGATCGGTGGTCATTGTGACGAAAGGTACGCAGACTTCGTAGACGCGCTCCCCATTACGACGAGAGAAGTGAACTTGAAAATGGAGAATGACAACTTGTCTTTCTCTTTTTCATATACATTTGCGTGGACGACTGTCGCCACACCGAGGAACCGGCGGAAAGTAGACACGCGCAACGGGACCACCACTCCGGGAAAGCGGAAGAAACTAGGCACGCAAGCGTTTTGAATGACAAAGAGAGAACGGTGCGAGTTTTTGTTGACGCACATGAACAATCCACGGAACCCTAGCCATAAACAGCTTCGCTATAAAAAGACATGTAGGTACGACACGGACAAGCGCCATGTCGTACGTGTGCCTGTTTTCGTCCTGTTTCAGTTCGCGCCTTTTAACCTTTCAATGGAAGCACCTCATCTTTGATGTTACCTCAACTCAATTTTTATTTAACACTCAGACAATCCGCTTACCTCACACTGATTCTGCTTAATCTAATCATTGGAGTCGCCCACTATCATGCCCAAATGTGATTTCTGCGCTGACACATATGGGTATGCCGTTCGCTAAAAAAGTTAATCGACGAAAAGTGGTGGGCGGAACTTCGTTGACGTACAGTGCTAATCACGCTTGTCTATAACGCGCGTGCGGCTTTCTCCGGGGAGCGCTAGACTGGTGGCATTCGCGGAAACTAAGCTAGTCACGTGGCGCAACGTATTCCCATATCAGATTTTTAGCAAATTGAATGGTCCCACCTGAAGCACTGTTAGCTTTGGAAGTAAACCAATTCACAATACCACCAGTGGCATACATCGTGCCAAGCATTAGTGCCGCATGTGGCACAAAAATGTCCTAACTAGGGAAGCAAACTTAATCAATCGTGTTGATTAAAGCACTTAAGTACGGGAGAAATTATCAATCAAAGAAGGTCACTCGAAAGGGAACTTTTCTTGCTGAACGAATATGACTTTTTATTGGGCGTTCCGCAATGTAAGGCCGAAGACATTCACTCCGTGATCGGTACAGAAGCATTTGCTTAACAGTCGGTCGTGCGTGCTAAAAACAACAACAAAAAAAGGCAGATTAGAAACGCGATAGATTCGCCTTTGCACGGAGTACTTACACTCAAAATCGTGTCAACATAGAGCGACTATGGCCCACCTTGCTAGCAGCAATCTTAAAATTTATCCGTGTAGTCGTCACACCCGTGCACCAACCGAAAGCGTTGCTGCAAGCCCCTCCGCCGTCAACTTTGAGTCGCTGTTGAGTCTGAAGAACTGCTCTATGAGGTCCATATCCAGCCACTGTGCACATACACAAGCACAGAAAATAATACTCGGTTCCAAGTACAAACGAAGAACCCAGGGCGGAAAGCCCTGAATGCCAAACGATCATCGTCGGGCGACGGCGATTGACTGCGTAAGGTCACAGGTTGTGCTCCTTCGATGCCTGCATCGCTGCGGCGGGTGGTCGTAGCTAGTCGTAGCAGATCGTGGTACCTCTGTTGCTCATACCGGAACACTAGAGCCGCGTAATATTCTTGCTGCCGAAGTTTATAAGCCTGCGTTCGCGGCCAACACATTTACACGAAGCCAACGCCCAGCGAACCTATCCCCCTCTTTCTCTTTTGGCCACCGGCCGCCAGGGCGGTGACACCGTCGCTGAAACTAGCGCCATGTCGTACGTGTGTCTGTTTTCATCCTGTTTCAGTTCGCGCCTTTTAACCTTCCAATGGAAGCACCTCATCTTTGATGTTATTATCTCAATTCAATTTCAATTTTTTGTTAACACTCAGACAATCCGCTTACCTCACACTGATTCTGCTTAATCTAATCTTTGGAGCCTCGCCATACTATCGGGTTCGAATGAAATGCGAACAGCGGATCTCGTGACCATCGTAAATTAGGCCGTCAATACATATGCTGCGCCTCCTGGATGCCTTTTGAAACTGATAAAACTGCGTGTTGGAGGAGAGTAGGGCGCTGCGAGGGTGTGCATCCTACTCCAATGTGTTTGACCCCCGCCATGCACAACCCAAGCTCCGACGCTACGCCGGTGGTGCGCTGGAAGTTCTATCACAACCACTTTCATTGGCTCAGCATGAGCTATGCGAGGAAGCTCGCTGCTCGCAGCAGGAGCAAGCTGCTTCTGCGCGCGCCTTCGTGGAGCATTCTTGCAGCGTCATGCTCCCTTCTAACCTTTGCAGTTCTTTTGTTGCTTAAGGCCCTGCAACAACTTCTTGACTTGTTTTTAATTTGCACTGAACCTGAGCGCACTGAACGTAGTAACTTAATGAAACTTCTCTTTTCTCGAATTTCGCTTTATTTTCAAAGGTATGGGCAAATTAAACTTACAAAAACAAACATAAAATAGCCTCCTTCATGAAGTCGTAGGTCTTGGCTTGAGTGGCGGTGAACTAAAGGAGGGGTAGTGAGCTCATCGAGCTCTCACGGCAGCCGCACTCCCTGTCGACGGCTCGAGAGGGCACCACTAAAGCATTGGGTAGGTTGTATGAAGCGGGTGGCCAGGGCGGCTCGCATTGCATTTGCTGCGCAATTAAAGACTAATTCGGCATAACACTTCATTGGCCTCAAATGACCGCAAACACAGGGAAGGATCAGTTCAGAACGGGAGCCCCTTCGCGCTGCCATACCGCCAAATGGCAAAATCGGCAGCCACATCTGCGCCGAAGGCCTTCGGAAGGCTCGGAACCGGTCAGATCCTCGAGCCGGTATACGACCGCAGCGCCACCGCATACATCCGGGGCCTTTCTATGCTCGCTGCTCGTGCGTGCCTCATCCCACTATCCCTTTCTAGTATGCGCTGTTTTTTCCGCCGCTTGGTGGCGGGTATGTCGACGAGTCGTTTCTCGTTTCCGTACTTTAAAAACTGCATTTGTTTCTTTTCTGATATAAAATACTGAACAAAAACTACTTTCATAGATAATTGAAACGGTTTGCGACAACTATATTTTGCATTTCGACTAAAAAAAAGCTTTTAGCGGCTCTGACCAGTAGTAACGACAGGACCAAAGGCGTCACATATCGCGCGCTTACGGCACTGCGGGTCGACCCCGTAGGTGGAGGAGGTTTCCGCGTCGTCCGGTTAAAATATGACACACCGATATTTAGTTGCTCTCTCTGTGCCCACTGGCTTGCCGGGACCCCAAGAGACGTGGAAATGGCAAAAAAGTTAGACCCCTAAAAATGATTGCAGGGACCTTTAACCGCACCTCTCTAGTAAATACTTAGCTCCATAGTTTGAGAAAGATTTTTGCTAGAGAAGGTTAGAGTTACTTTAGCACCTCTAGCCTGCTGTATCCGTGGCGTGTTACGTGACATGTATACGCCTGTGGAAGAAAAAAAAAACGGCGCTGCCCAGGACCTGCGAGGGGCGATCACTCAATTGCCTGGCCTGCTCAGATTAAGATGTGCTTTGTCCGCGTTTGGCCTGTCTTGTCCTTGCGGGTGAGCAGTATACGCACCGGTTCCCACTCACGTCAGCGAAACGTGCGCCTCGGTAGCCAATTAATTGCTCATGGCAAAGGAACACTGGCTGGTGGAGGATGTGGAACGGGCTGCAGGCGCATTTGTAACTCGTACGTGGCTGCACAATGTCGTTTCAGATGGCGAAGCCAGTCAATGTCGCAGCACCAAAGAGAGACGACCTCCATTTCTTCACGGAGGGCAGGCACACCGATGTTGAGTTCCTGGTGGAGCATGGCTCCGACCCACCCAAGAGCTTCAAGGCCCACAAGATGGTTCTTGCCATGCGCAACGAGGTCTTCGAAACCATGTTCTACGGAAGTCTGCCCGAGAAGAACCAAGTTCGCGTCACCGACTTGCATCCGGATGGATTTTCTGCTTTCCTCAAGTAAACGACAATACTCTTAATGCTAACAATCATAATAGCTTAATCCTCACACATATGTATCTACATGCATGTATCATTTCTTCACGTATATACTCGTGTGCCAGGTCATATGGGCTAGCCACAGATCTGTTTACCGTTAGTGCCTCTTCACGTATATACTCGTGTGCCAGGTCATATGGGCTAGCCACAGATCTGTTTACCGTTAGTGCCTCTCTAGGGCCTTTCGCCGCTTTTAGAATAAAATTCCCCGGTCTTTGCTCACTTCTACTTTATGCTCTCGCTGAGCCGTGAGGATTGCATTGGTCATCATGATAAACTGTTTGTCCTGTCAATTTATAGAATCTTTATTTTTACGATATTGGAATGGCCGGTAACTTTTGAGACTTGTCAACATTTCTATTTATATTGAAGGATGTCTAGTGAGGGAACTGTTGTTTGCAAGTTTCAAAGACACTGGAAGTACAGATATTTTCTGTTTTGTTTGAATGTGGGTAAATTGGGGATGGAGCAAAATGAAGCTCCGAATTTCGGAAAACTTATAAATTTAAAGGAAAGAAATTCCGATAAACTTCAACGTTTCGCTACAGTATAAACTAAAGATTAAAAAAAAAAAAAAAGCCCTCCTAGTTTTGCAAGAAATAAATTCCGAAAACAGGAATTTTATGCACCTAGAAACTGAGGGAAGGAGGTGATGAGAGCTTGCAGAAGCATCAAAACGCCGAGCTCTGGCTGGATTGATTAGTGGATAGCCCTAAAGCTAGCGCTTTTATTTCCACTGCACTCATTGAACGCATTAGAATGCAGGCGTCCGCGGTGTTTGGCTTTCGCAGTGATGTGATTGGCCTAAGCCATTTTGGAGCACCTTTCGGAGCAGCCAAAACAGTGTTTTGGAGCAGCAAAAGTGGCTTTTGGAGCAGCCAGAACAGTGTTTCGGAGCACCAAAAATGGCTTTCGGAGCAGATATTCTTAAAAAAATAAAAATATTCGTTTTACGTGCTGGACAAACGAAGGGCACTTTGCTCGCTGAAATAAACGAATTATAGTCAAGTTCGACCACTTAGGAGTCCTTCAAGATGTAACTGAAATGTCAATGACATGACAGATTTTGCAATGCTTCAGTTAAATGATACCTATATATGTACCCACAATAGATAGATTAGAACCAAACTTCACAAATTCAAATTTATTTGAACTAAACTTCACATATTACAAATTGTTTGAAAATGACCAGCTTAGTAGTAAATATCCCAGCATTAGATTGACTAGTTATATAATATAATAAATGGAAGCAGTCCCCGACTGATGAAACACGTAACAACTGCAGTGCAATGCGAAATTGCACACAAGAAAATGGTGCTGTACGACTAGTGGGTACTTTTTACGAAAAAATAGTCAGAGTGCAGGCGAGCTGGTGTAAGTTGAACATGATTGTAAACCTGAGACTGGGGCAGAAAAGAGAACACAACAGAAGGTAGTAAAAGAGGAGGCAATGTTGGGTACTTTTTGCTTTTCAAAGCTTTCTGCAAAGCTGCTGCAAGCTTCGCTTTGGCTTAGGCTAGTAATTAATGTCCACTTTTAATGTCTCCAAAGAAACATTGAGACACCCCACAATGTACAGTGTTTTGAGCGTTGCCAAAAAATTTTGAAAAACCGCCTCGCACCGTTTCACCGATTCCCGACGTGCCAGACTTTCGTCAAAAGTAAACGTAAAACAGTGGACTGCAAGCGTCCCGGCCGGTGCCTCTGTTGTGCAATGATGTTCGCATGCACGTCAGGGCAACTTCAGCAGGCTTGCAGCTGCACATGCTTCGTCGCGCGAGCGGAGACGGCTGTTCGATCGAAACCGAAACCATGCCACTCCGCTCCGTCGCCAACTGGTCTCCAAAAATGTATGTAAAATGTAACTGCCCAGCATGCGACAAAAGACAGTCCAGCGGCGTGTGCTTACAAGGCCGGTAGGCGAGGTACAAGCTAAACATACAAAAAAAAAAAAGAACCTGAGCGCATCGATGCAGGACGGCAGGACATCGCGAGTCAGGGTCAAAAAGTTCTTCGAGCGCTGTGTGCAACGACTGAACTTGAGACAAACAAGCGCGCTGTGCGGGTTCAGCGTGCCGACCTTGCCTTCTTTGCTTTGGTTCACTTCTCTTCATCAACTTTCTTTCGCGACAGATTTTTCATGTACCGGGGTCCCTCTCCAAAGAAAGTCAACCAAGGGAAACCTAGGTAATCAATACTTAGACACAGCAGTCTTCGAACTAATGAGGGATTTTTTGTAGTAGCGTATGTTTTAAACAAGAACAGGAATGTTGATGAACATGCGGCTGTCCTTATGTTTCAGCTTAGGAAGCTCCATATCTGTAGCGACGTGCGGACTGGCAGGCAGGACCAAATATAGTTTTCCCACGGCCGTTGCTTGCAGAAGCGAGTGCTTCAGCTCAAAAAGTAATTCCCGCCGCGCAAAAACGTAATTTCGTTTCAGTGTGACGGCATGGCTGGTACCCAGCACGTTACCGCCGGAGCGTCCGCACACGCCCGCATCTATCGTTGTAAAACTAAAAAAAAAAAAAAAAAAAAAAGACGACATTTACGAGACGTTGAGAGCGCGAAAGAGACGGCGGGAAACAATATGCGAGACTGGATGGGCGATTGATGTAACTAAAGCAAGGGTGCAGGCAAGCTGGTTCAATACTGACATTGGAGTTTTTTGCCTGTCCTATGTCCATCCTTTTCCCCGGCTCCAAGGTTACAATGTCACGATTGATGCAGAGTACTTTGTGTCGGGTGGCCGCTTGCGCCGCCTAGCTCACGCATACTCAGTTATGGTACTCAGTTTAGTTTCAGTTTTGAAATGCGACCAAAACTGGTCCTTTGGCGCAGGCTTGGCGCAGATTTCCCATATTTTGGCAAAATGTAGCAGGATGTAGCAGGGTTAGCCCCTTGGCGCAGTTTGGCGCAGCAATCACATCACTGCTTTCGTGTTCCAACGCGTTCGACGAGTGCAGGGGCCATCTGACTTTAGGTCTACCCTCTAATCACTCCTATCAAAGCTCTGCGTTCCAAGGTTCCTGTGCGCTCTCGTCTCCACTCCCTTAGTTTCTCGGCGCATAGACCGATGCAGGTTAAGACACCAGGACAAGCTCCTTCCACAACGCCCTCCACCACGCTTCAGGTTAGCAAAGTGAACGCTGGAGAGGATGAGAGTTCCTCCTCGCCCCTTCTTTCCAGCGTTTGCTCCGCTAGAGTGCGAAGAGTGGAGGGTGTTGCGGGAGCGGGATGAGCTAGTCCCGATTTCTTGACCCACAGCGTATGAAATAACGTTTGTAAGGCACTTTAAGCTGCCCGCGAAAATAGGTTTCTCAACGGATCGCGCTGCGATTTACTACACAGGTGCAAGCTGCTGGTAAAAGTTTACATTAAAAAAAAAAAAAAAAAATCAGGAAATGAACTTACCTCGTTTATACTACATATATTTTTAATAAAGTAAAAAAAAAAGGAACTGCTCAATACCGAAACTGGACTGAGGGGGAAGAAGAAATATCGAGAAGAGTGTTGGCTAAAAATTTGTGGTTGTGCAGCTTTTTCTTTTTAATCAAGATTTGCAGTTTTTTAGAAGCCACAAAATATGAGTATCATATTTCTTTCCTATCTTTAATATTGAGTGTGTGCCTTCGATGATGCACGACTTTGATTATATTTGGTGGTTCTGTCTAAATCATAGAGAACGGCACGTGACCACGGAGAAGAGAGTGAGTGAGACTCGAACCGGCCAGTTCTCGATCAGCAATTTTTGGGCGGAAAGAAAACGAATTTCGAGCCGCAAATTGTGTTCTGGGTAGTTGGGCTCTCATAAGTAATGTACAAATAAAAAATGACAGGAGGACACTTAAGAGTGCTTATGTGTACGAATGCGAAAGTAGTCCTACACGCAGGGGGGATCGGTGGCCGAGTGGGCTGAAGCGCACACCCAGCTCGACGCGCGTGGAGCGAAAGCTCGCGCTGCAGAACCCAGGGATCCTGGGTTCGAGCCCCACCCCTGCCCGTTTCGATCTGGATGAGCATCGTACCGGCGTGCGGTCGTGTATCACTACTGCGTGAGCACGTTAAAGACCCCAGGTTAGCAGTCGTACTGCACTGGCAAAATTGCTCATCTGCAGTGTAAACCAGTGTCGCCTCATCCTGGCAGACCAACCTTACACTGTATAAACACTAAACGTTTGATTTTGAGTCCTACACGCAGCGCATTCCTACAAGCAGCGCAACCCGCTGTCCTCCGCAGAGGCCGGCCGGGCAGCGCGACATTGCTGAAAACAGAGCGTAGAGCACGTGATACAGTAGTGCACAGAGAGAGGGAGTGGGAATTTCCCACTCCCTCTCCGGCCTCCAGCCATGCCTGACACGTGACCCGAAAGGGGCGAGCGCGGCGGCCTCACGTGCGCCACCCTCTCCCTTTTATTGGCGTGCGGGCCGCAGCACCAGGAAAGGGCCTTCTCTTAGGAAGGCGTCCCTTGGAACTATAACGTGTTGCAGCCAATGAAACTTTATATGCCGTTTCGCTCAGCCAGTGGGAAAATGGGAATTTATTTGCCATTTTTCGCGGTTACAGACGCCGCCGGCTCCGCTCCATGGGACAGTTAATGCTCTCGCATTAAAAACCTTGGCGAGCATAAATACTCCTTCAGTGTCCCTTTAAGGGCAGCTGCCAATGCTACAAGCTCATGCTTCTATAGCCTTTGCTGCTGTACCAGGGGAAACGGAGGAAGGACAGATTTAAATCGAAATATTTGGCATGTGGTCTTATTAGGCGATAATAAAGAGAACTGCATTGTTTTCTTAATATGTAAAATCAATCGGAGTTGCCTTTTTAAAAGAGTTAATTTACACGCTGCACAGCAAGCACGCCGCCCTGACGCCGCATCACTGCGGTGATGCTGCTGTCGGCGCATGTACCGACGCTTCGCTTTACACCAATCTGGTTTCTATGCAAGCGCAGTGCCCACACCTGTTGCGGGCAAACACAAACTTGTTTGTTAACGTGTTGGTCTATAGCAGGGGTGGCCAGCCTGACCCGGCCTAAGAGCCGCAAACAAAACCACGAAAATTCCAAGAGCCGCTGAAAAGGGGGGGGGGGGGGGGGAGGAGGCAAACTTTTGTCCAGAGCAATAAACAAAACTTTAACTACTTTCAATCTATCCAAGTCCAAAGCAGTCCAACTGTGCGTAAGGTATCAGTATCAAAAGACAACAAACCTATCGCTATGGAAACTATCGATAGTCTCCATAGTTGCCAAAAATTGACTATCGATTGTAAAAAAAACTATCGATAGTCGACTTTAAAAAAACTCAATACTCGACTATCAAAAACTATCGATAGTCGACTATTGAAAAACTATTGATAGTTCTGCGACACTATCGATAGTTCCAAAACTATCGTTAGTCAATTTACCAATAGTTTTGCATCACTAATAGGTATGCATCAGCATTTCTTATCTCCATCAAGATCTGTGCTCGCCTGCCAGCACTTCTGGATACCTCCCAAATGCAATATGGCAAAATCTATATTAAGTTCATCACCTTTGTTTCCTCTTACCACGTCCTTTGATTCGCTTTTGTTCCAGGTACCTTTACAGCCAGAAAGCCACATTTGTCGACGTCAAGCAAGCACTGCACACGCGAACAGCCGCCGAGAAGTACATGGAGTCGGAGCTCGTGGAAGCCTGCCACAGGTTTATTAAAAATTCGATGCAGTCAACCGACGTATGCGACGTCTTAGAATACGCCGCAAAGAACGGCAACCTCGCAAACTTCAACGACCTTATCAACAAGTTTCTGAATATGAGCGGTGTTCAAGTACTGGAGTCGAAGGCGTTCATCGCCGCGTCAAAGGAAACCGTCCTCACAATACTGAAGAACCCTCAGTTGTGCGTCAAGGAATACGACGTTATCAAGAGTGTCTACGCATGGGCGATTGCGTGTTGTGGAAAAGAGACTGGCGTACCTTCCACCGCTGCTCTCCAGTGGACCATGAGGCCATTCCTGCCGGAGCTTAGATTCCTCACGTTGTCTCCTCTGGAGTTTGTCGAAGGTCCAGTTACGTGGAACATCCTGACAGAGTCTGAGGCGCTGGCTGTTCTCAGTAGCATTGTAAAACTCGGCTCGAAGGAGTGGCCAGTGGGCTTTTGCACTAATAGGCGAGCCAGGACAGGGGTAACCTTAACCAGTGGAGTAACAATGGGAGATTGCGGGGTGTGTGGGATGCCCATTACCGCTGTGGGAGATTGCGGGGTGTGTGGGATGCCCATTACCCCTGTAGCCACACAACAGCGGACCACCAAGGTTGTTCCCAGTGTTGGTGTCACCCCGAATTTTGGGCAGTCAAATGCAACCAGTTTTGGTTTTAGTTTTGGCAGGCAGTCATGTTAAAGTTCACTTTAGTCATGTCCACCTGAGCCCCATTTTTTTTTCCTCCATTATAATCCTCAAACTGCGTTGGGATAAGGAAATTGTCATTGACTGACGGCCACGCGTAAACGAGTCTTTGGCTTCGTTTAGAAATATCTCGTTCATTGATCTTCAGTTTTAGCAATTTATTAATTAAATTAGTTCCAATACCTTCAGCAAATGGAAAAATATAAAAGAAAAATAAAGTTTGTTTGCGCGTGTTCTCCAGACTCCCGGTGTCATTTGTTCAAACTATGGTGCCTGGAAAAGGTTTCCAACTGTTGTGTTTACCACGTCCAAAAACGTGGTCCCTCGATTTCTGCTTGATGACGTCATGGAAGTGTCATGCTGTCGCGATCCTGGCGGTGTCCCAGCAGCTGTGGTGGATGTGGCAGATGCCTGTTCTGCTGCAGGTCGCTCTCCATTGTGACAGTCCAAGGAAGCTATAGCAGCAGGAAGTTGAGACGCCGTAACGACAGTGACACTCACGTTCGCTTGTGCTTTCCGCCAGCATTTCTACGGCCAACCGCCAGGATTGCGACCTCCACAGTACACTCCGGCTTCTGTGACGTCATTTGTTGCCACTTCGGGACCACTTTTGATGTATGGGCAGGATAGGACGCTAAACACACCAGTCGAAGACGCGCTACAGGCACCAAAATTCAAACGACCAGTTTCTTTAAACACAGCCTACAATATTGACAAGGAAAGCTTAGTCACTGCTTTTGTGTGTGTGTGTGTGTTGATGACAACTGTTACTGAAGAGAAATTAAGCCACTTCCACTCAATGCAAGAAGAAATGTAATGGGGAGGAAAGAGGACCTTGCCTTTAAGGGCATGATCAATTATGTTAAAAAGCCGTACACATTTTAATATTTATGAGACGGGTACTAAAGAGGGATAGAAAGGTTCTTTTCTCGAGCATTGTCAAACAGAGGAGTGAGCTTTACTAACCTAAGCAGGTGCTCAATAACTCGCTATACGGCAAGCAACTGGTCCCAAACGAGTCTTCGGCGTGTAGGAATTCAAGAAGGGGCACACCAATCAAAGTGCAACGAAGGGAATACGCAAGGAACGTGCAATGAGGAGGCAGCCAAGCTCGACTGATCATTCGTTGAGGTCTGGACAAAAGCACGGTTCATTTGGCGGGCAAGCAAGCACTAGAGCTGTGCAGGGACCAGACAAACTTGCAAGGCGTAAATTTGTTCACCGCATAAACTTGTTCACCTAAAGCCCCTTCATAAAATGTGCGCTTTGCTTAATGCTCTCTTGCGCTTACGGTCCTGTTGCAAGTGGGGCCAGTGCCTCGTGCGGCCCTTGCGAGCAAATGGCGGCTCGGCACTGAAATGAGCGGCCCTTGGAAGCGGATGGCGTCGCAGCACTCGCTCGTGACATGTGCCTCGCGTGTTTTCACAACAATGGCTGCCGGTACCTGTAAGAAACGCGAATCGTAGGCTTTATCAAGGGGCAAATTTGTTGAGTTTGGGATCGCGAATTGCAAGTTCTTTCCCTTCCGAATAAAGCTACTACAATCTGATTTCTTTAGATACTCTCGAACTAGGAAGTATTGTCCAAATTCTTAGCGACTGGCTAATCCTTTAGAGGGAGAGTGCCGACGTCCGGGTACACGAACGAGGGTCCCAGCAAGAGAAGAGTTCCTCCCTTCCCTCCTCCTGAAATGTCTGGTAACGCTGCAAGTTTTGCGACTTCAGGAAAACAGCAAACAAAGGAGTTGACAAATCCTTTCATGGCCCCTTAAACATTATGAACTGTGAAAACAACCACCCCCAACTATCATGAAAATTAACTTGTGCAAGTGGCACTGTTTCTTAGCGGCATTAGAACAAGAGTGAAGTCAAGGTTTGCCGTTCTACCGATAGCTGCACGGGAACAACCTTGTCAACCATTTCTTCAAATGCAGACCGGCAATTTTTTTTCTCTGCGCAAATTTTCAAATTAGATCAACCTACCACCAAGAAAAAAAAAAAAAAGTAGATGTGGAATAGTACTGAGCGTAATTACTGAGCCTATTGCGCTAATTACCCAGGCGCTCACCCATGTCAGCCGCTGCACTGGGGTGCAAAGAGGTGAAGCTCAATGCGCACGCTGGTGAGAGGCGGCACGGAGGCATGCGGCAGACATAATCGTTAAGTGATCTCGTAAGGAGTACAAGCCCCTGATTCTGTCTTGTCTCAGCAGCTGCCATTCTACACCTTGGCAATGTTTTCCCGCAACTTTTAGCTCCTCGCATCCCCGACACCGTTTTGAAATTTAGACGATGTAGGCGCTTAATCTGCCAGCCCATCATCCGACCAGCGCGGTTGACGAGCAATCTCAATGCTTCGTTTCACCGGCGCAGCCGCTGCTACGAGCCAATGAAACTGACCAGCATCAAAGCCCGACATCATGGCATTCGTCCATCTTCCTCTGCATGGTCTTTCATGGACTAAACGAATCAAGTGCAGCAAATGCCCAGTGACTTGCGCTTTTAGTATGTGTTTGTATCTGTTTGGGCGTTCGACTGAACCCCGACTTGAGATAAAACTATACGGAGTAGAGACGCTGTGAAATGGATATTTGTACCATTTTCCTTTCCTCCTGCTTCTCTAAATGTTAAAATCGACTAATAATTTTTTTTCTTCTTTGGTTTGCCCATTTTGGTGCAGGTGTGGCACAATTCTAAGCGAAAATAGCACTTTGGCACAATTTGGTGCAAATGGTGCAGCATTTACGTCACTGTATATGTTACCCTATCAAGAGGTACAAGTTTCAAATGCCAAAACCATCGGCAACCAAACATTTGAAGTACTTCGCACGGCGTATAAAGAATGGGCAAAACTTCATCTTTTTATTTAGGTTAAAACGAGTATAGGTCGCAAGAAAGCTTGCAAAACCTTGCCAATTTCTTAACTGCCACAGGTTGACATTTAGTCATAAATATTTTCATACATGTTGCAATCGCCTTCAGCAGAATAAGGTTAATTTTGAGTGCTAAAAAAAAAAATATCTATTGCAATAACGACCATCTAAAGCCGCCTCACGAACTGAAGCTCCTCCCACAAATCGAGAGCTTTCAGGTTTCTTTTAGCCTCTTCATAATCTAAAATCTTTGCAAGTTACTTACTGTAAACCCAGTCCAAAATAGACTGTTGCGTTGTAAAAAGAGCCGGAAAATTGGGGACCTGTTCGTAGGAAGCTCGAACTTAACCTCGGGTGTGTATTTAGGTGGTGCAGTTTATCTGGGGAAATTTCAGGACCAACAAACTTGCCAGGGTTGATGGCGAATGCGTTCGCTGACAACTAAGTTAACGATGGTTGAAAGATATGGCACCATCCCCCGATGGCGCAGCGGGCAGACGACGCACTGCCGTCTGCTCGCTGCATTTATCGGGAGATGGCGCCACAAGTCCCGGCGCATGCATGACAATGCACAACCTCACAAGTAGGAAAAATTTGACAGTCAGTTGCATGCTACAAATGAATCTCGTCGCCAGTGCAGTGCAATGCAATATAAATAAACTCTGCATTGCAGAAAGCCCCTACTCTGTGAGGATCTGACACTGGCAGTTGGGAAAGAACACAAAAGTTTGAGCATGTGACGTCACCTGGATTAAAAAAGAAAAGGGCATATGAAATTTCTCTATGAGATGACATCCACCTAAACCAGTGAAAAGTAGCAATGGACCGAATCTGCTGAACTTCAGATTCGGCAAGGTTCGGCAAAATTTCACAAACATCTGCGCACGCGCGAGAATGCGATGGGGCCATGTTACGGCGTGGTGTGGAGTAGGCGACATGGTAACTGTGTTTGTCAGCCTTTGCGAGTGTGGTTCTCTTCAATATTTTCTGCCTCAAGAACAGAAGTTTGACGAGAAATTGACGCAAAAACACTGCGCAAGTAAGAAATTATGCGGTACATTCAGGATAACGTGATTTTCATTGATCTTTCCAGTGACGCAACGAGGTATTGCAACGTTGACCAAGAAGTACTTTGAAGCACTCCTCGCCATTATAGCAATCCTGTTTTCGGCTCGCAAGTAATTTGTGCCAAAACAAAATATTGCTTTTCAATTAGCGTTATTTCGCGGTTTTCACCTATCCGCACAGAATTAAACGCAGAACTATAATGTCCCATGTTGCACATCCAACATTCTTAACCCTTCCCATCTTCCCAAAACGTTCGGTGTGTCCCAAGTCCTAACATCAGAAACCGGCATCTTAAAAGTTGAAAATGAGATGTTGCAAATATGGGACGCACACTTTCATGCAAAGCTGAAGTGACACAAATCGAAAAACATGCATATTTACAATAATATCACTATCTCTTCTGGTGAAGGCTCAGCAACCGTTGCATTCATTTTCGCGCACGAAACGGTGACTTGCAGAGAAAGCAAGAACACAGTGTTATTCCCCTTAATTCAACAATACACACTTGCAGGCTTGCGCTGATGAGGCCTCAAGACCAAAACTCTTGTTTCGTGACTGTGACGTTACTACGCAACCCCATTGACACACCGCTTCTGCAAAAAGTCACTTTAAAATTTCCAGTGAACACACAAAAATGAAAGCGATACAATTATCTTGTAGAATATAACCTTATTTTCTAATAACTGTGTCAATGTGCATTAAAAAAGAACTTAAAAAACTTACTTTGCACAAAAAAACAATATGTAAACTTAGGCCTGGTAACGGTGTACTTTTGCTGAATCTATAGTAACAATTACTTTTGTCGAATCTTTAGAAAAGTTCTGCAAAAATTCGGCTTTGCAGAGTCCCAAGATTCAACGTCGAATTTTCAATCCGGCAAAAGTTTGGCTTATCACTAGTGAAAAGCGCTTACTGAAATATGTTACTGCGCTTAAAATGTCATTTCTTCGTTTGACGACATTAGGCTTAAGTGGACGTCGGCTCGTAGAGAAATTTAGTCTTTCTCGATGATCTGCTCAAGGAAACATGTATTTTGTTAGGGTTTCGCGTTCTATCCCGACCGATAGCGTCGCATTCCCCCGGACTTTCTGCAACGGTTTTTAAGTATGGCCTCTGGGTGCCGCTATCTTGCTGCTGGCGTGGGTAGATCGTCCGATAGTCGAGCATTGCTGAGGCGCACCCACGGTTTCCAGCCTGGCTTCCAAACAAACCGTTTCCAATCCATGGTGGCCCGGCTCGCACTCCATCAAATGCATGAAGGTGCGACATCAAAGTTTTAGCAGATCGTTCCGACACCCTCGATAACGACACGATGCATGCACGCAGAAAGGTAGCGGCGGAGCATCGCGCATCTTTATCGCAGTCATCGGAACAATCTACTAAAGCTCCACGATTTGATGGGGTTTTTGATGAGAAATTACTGTCGTGTGGTCAGACTAACACGAGCGAGAAAGCACCGTGGAGGGATTTGATCTACAGTGAGACAACGTGGGAGTGGAGGAGATGAAGGCGTGCCGGGATGTCGGAGTGCCCAGTTTCGATTCGGGTCTCTCCTTGACCTTTCCAATCTCGGAGAGATCTGACCGAAAATCACGGTGAAGGGTTGCTTTATAGAGATGTGTTGTATACACCAACATGCGGCCCCGACGTCGCGCCGCTGCGGTGGCGCTGCTATCGACAGGGCGCAGACAACGCTTCTTCCCTTCACGCTCACTGCCCACACCTCGTGTAAGAACCACGCGTTTGTCTGCACCTCATCAAGGGGGCTTTTTTTGTAAACGGCGTGTTGGCCTACACCGAGATTTTGTTATTCACACACCAGCGAAACAAGTACACAACTTTGCTCCAAAACTGCGTGCGGCGTCGGTGCTTGGCAGCATAGGAAAATAGCGTTTGTCTTGAAATACGCAAGAACAATATCGTGGTAAGAGATTTGTGGAGACAAGCATGATTAATAAGTTGATTGCATATACAGTGCCAAAGATGCTTATATTCGCAAGAAATAACGCTTTCATTACGATGATGGTCAATAGTGATCTTGGCACAGCTGGTTCAAAACGACCCTTTCGAAGCTTCGAATATTTCAAAAGACTGAAATGGCGGTTGCCATGGCAACAAATACCAATCGGCCACTCGCGTGGCGAGGTTTTGGTCGTCTGTATGTTAGTATCGGTCTGTGTTCTGCTGGCAGGCACAGAAGGCAATAGCGCCACTTTCCCAGGATCCAATGCCTTTATCTCTTCCTCCAATCTTAGTAAATGAGTGTCGTCTGCTCTTCTGTGCATCGTGTTCAAGTACTGGACACCGGCATTTGAACACGGGGTAGAAACAAAGGCAGCAAACCTTTCCGTCTGCCCACTAATCATTCCAAACAGAGCTTGCCACCTCGACGTCCCCACGCGCTTTTATCTCTTCCTCTCCTCCAGTTTCTCAACGTATAAAGCAATTGCTTAGAAACGAAAACAAATTCCACACTGAGCATTCAGAGAGTGAGAGGATGGTCTGCAATTGTTGCAATACAACACTAGCTCACACTATTGATCAGCAATTTAGGCAAAGGAGTTCGACTGCTAAGATGGGATTGTTAATATGCATCGTGCACGCCGACACAATGCCCATTTTGACAAAACATAGCCGAGCGGGGCTCCAACCCGTGAATGACAGCCCTGCACATAACTGCTGTGATGCATGAGAGGATGGTTTCAGACAGTTTTAAGGCTGGTTCACACAGCCCAGGTTTCTTAGGTTTCTTTGAGACACACATGTTTCAAACTTCTACATAACGTAAGAAAGCGGTGCTGTTTGAACCAGCCTTTAGACTTATAGGGTCCATGTAGAGCAGTTTTAAAATTGCAATGACAACATTTCTCACATTAAAATTAGCTTTGAAAAGCACCGAAATTCGAGCAGACATTTTCACGACATCAGCCCCCGACCGACACCAAAGACCCATTGTGCAAAATGTGACAAAACACACGGAGGTGGCAGTGATTTTAATTACTCTTCAATGTAGTTGATCAGTTATTGGTTGACACTCCGTTGACTATAAAACATGGTCCACCATCTCTGAACTTGGTGCCACTTGCAGGCGATGTAAAACCAGAACCAGTTCATCTTGTGTTGCCTTTAGCTCCAATCGTCGTTCTCTTCAAAGAGCTTCTCCAACTGCGCCTTCGGCTGCGGCTTTGCCGGTGACTGTGGCTCTGGCTCTGGCTTTTTCTTGACCTTCTTTTCGTTCGGCGAGTCTGCATTGCAATGCGGTCATAGTATACTTCCCAAGAATAATACAGACGAATGTCATTGTCAAACTTAAAAAAAAAAACACTAGCAGCCTTCCCTTCAATGTTGCTTTAAGGTCATTACTACGAAGTAAGCTATAAGAGTGTCGTAACGCAAAAGAAACGCTATACTGCGTGTGTGCACCACGACAGTAGAAGAGAAATACTTCCGGTTCTATGTTTACCTGGTGTTTGGGGGGGTGTGCGAAGCATTTCTAGAGCTACAGTCTCGAAATGCCCCAGTACTGTGCTTTGATGCGTACCAGCACAAACAAAAAGGTCACAAGTGAAGTTATTACGATTATGCCAATACAAGGGCCGCCGCCGTCGAGCCCAGGTGATCACAGGATGACGGCATGGGCAGATGGTGCTAGCTACTTTGATGCGCTGCCGACAGATGGCGCAATGTGACAAACTCGAAAATGTGGCACCGATGCCACGGCGACTTGACCGACTTCTCCGTACAACGATGGGCCATTACGGCACGTACAAATGCAATGTGCCGGCGCTCTTGGAAGAAAAATTTTGAATACCAAAGCAAGCAAGTCACAATGCTAGAAAATTCTGCATTACAGAAACTTGTGTCGCGCTAAAGGAAGCGTAATTAAAATTTTCGGAAGATTGTTCGCTAAAATCAAAGCCCGGCTCGGCGACCCGTGTGGGGAAGCTCGGTGCATATCTCCGGTGCCTGAGGGAGGTAGGTGCCCATCGCCTATACCTTGCCACTCATGAAGTAGTTGAATGCGTTTAGCGATACGTAGGTTTCATGTCGATCTTGGGTAAACGTACCAGGCGAGTCGAATACAGTGGACTCACGGTAATTAAAACTCGAATATTTCATACTTCCGGCTAATTCAAACGAATGAAAAAATTTTGGTTGTCCCGCTATGTTTTCAATGCATTTATAGGCTGCTTAATTCAAACTATTTCTTCATCGCAGGAGGTTAGCTCCGGTGAGTGCGAAGCTCGGGGTCATTGCTTTTCTGCAGTACGCGGATGCTCGGTGAAAAGCACACTCGATGGGACTAAAGTCCCTCAATACTTCTTTTACAAGTAACAACAACCAATACAAATGACAAAGCACATTCCATTGGGACAAAATGGTATCATTCAGTTCAGTCTTCTGCTTTTCACCGCCATTAGCTTCCTAAAACCTGCACCGTCATGCAGTCGGTGCTTCAAAGCATGTCGCTACTTGTAAGAAACTGCTATCTAAGGACTTTAAATCGGACTAACCCACCTCGATTATGCAAGAAGAACTGCCCTGACAATCTGCTTTCATTATTTGTGCTTCTTTTTTTTATTTTACAGCCAAGCTGTAGTGTGCTGGGATCTGGAAAAAAATGTCTATGGATGTTAACAAAAAAACTCCCGTTTAAACGGCTCTCCTTCGTTCCAATTGGTCTTGGCAACTATAAATAAAAAGAGGGGGCAACCCGCGTAAGTCGGGCTTCTTTGGCATTATTAAAGGGGCCCTGCAACAACTTTTTGACTCATTTTTAATTTGCACCGATCCTGAGCGCACTGAACATAGTAACTTAATGAAACTTTTCTTTTCTCAAATTTCGCTTTATTTTAGAAGTTATAGGCAAATTAGAATTACAAAAACAAGCAAAAAATAACCTCTTTCATGACGTCGTAGGTCCTGGCTTGAGTGGCTGTGAACTAGAGGAGGGACAGTGAGCTCATAGAGCGCTCACGGCTGCCGCACTTCGTGTCGACGGCTCGAGAGGGCGCCACTAAAGCACGTGTTGGATAGGCTGTATGAAGCGGACGGTCAGGGCGGCTCGCACTGCATTTGCTGCACGATTAAAGACTAATTCGGCATAGCACTTCATTGGCCACAAACGACAGCAAACACGGGGTAAATATCAGTTCAGAACGGGTGCCACTTCGCGCTGCCATACCGCCAAATGGCAAAATCGCCAGCCAACCCGCGCCGCAAGCCTTCGGAACGCTCGGAACCGGTCGGATCCTCGAGCTGGTATACGACCGCAGCGCCGCCGGGTACATCCGGGACCTTTCTACGCACGCCGTTTCGTCGGCGCCTCATCCCACTAGCCCTTCTTATTATGCGCCGTTTTTTTCCGCCGCTTGGTGGTGGGTATGTCGGCGGGTGATTTCTTGTTTCCGTACTTTATAAACTGCATTTGCTTCTTTTCTAATCTAAAATACTGAACAAAAACTAGTTTCATACATAATTGAAAAGGTTCGCGACACTTATATTTTGTATCTCGACTAAAAAAAAGATTTAAGCAGTTCTGACCAGTAGTAAGCCCAGGACTAAAGACGTCACATATCGCGCGCTTTCGCCAACGCGGGTCGCCCTCGTAGGTGGAGGAGGTTTCCGTGTCGTTCGGTTAAAATATGACGCACTAATATTTAGTTACTCTCTCCGTGCCCGCTGGCTTGCCCGAACCCCCAGAGATGAAGAGACCTGGAAACCGCAAAAAACGTAGACGCTTAAATATGATTGCAGGGCCCCTTTAAATAGTGAGGTCCTGATCCCTTGTTATCATCTACGGTCACGGATTTATCTCAGCTAAAAGCGCGCTGTGACGAGGCAGAGGGCAGAACGCGCCCGATCTAACCTTTTCTTTCACTTCCGCAGTGCTGATAAAGAGGCTTGGGCTCAATCGGAAAAAACTGTCCTCGAGGTGTGCCTCGAGAAATTTGGTCTAGAACTTGCCTATCAGTCGCTAAGAATTAAATAAAGACAATTAAACAATGAAGTCGTGTTTGTGTCTTCATTGCAATCATATGTAAATCATACAGATGTCGTAAAGTTGTCATAAAGATAACAGCTCCGCTGCTCCTCCATCCTCGGATGCAGTGGATCGGCTCTACAATTTTTTCTGAGGAGGTTAAATTCGAGATTAAAACATTTGCACATAAATTCCCTTGATTAGGATAGCTGGGCGCATCTCTTTAGGTTTAATTTTATTTCAAATCTGTCATTTACATGCCACCCCAATGTAGGCATTCGAATTTCTGAGGCTACGGTTCATAGATATACAGGGTGTCTCGAAAATAATTTACAGGGTTTTTTTCATCAAAAAAATAAACTATGCACTGCCAAATGCTCATTCTCCGCCAAAAGCTAGCCTTAGAGGTCTAAACCAGACGCCAAAGTTTCAATATTTATAAATATTTCGATAATTCATTCAAAAGTTTTAAGGGGTTTTCTGAAAATTTCAATGGCAAAAAGGTGACTTGAATACATGGAGCTCTATGGCGCCAGAAACCGAGAACGGGCAAAAATGAGCCCCATTTTCCCACTGAAATTTCCAGAAAATCATTTATAACTTTTGAATAAAATATTGGATTCGACATTTGATTAGGAAAGATTTGGCCGAAACCACTGTTTCCTTAGCACTTGACCAATGTTTTATTTCCTGCATATAAATAGGCCTGTGTAGAGGGAAGTGTAAAAAATATGCTCGGTGTGCATAGCTATTCCTATTGCAAATTGTCACTCTGCCTCACATCATACTTAGATGAATTTTTGATAATTCAAACTTTTCATATTTCAATCTAAAGTCTGTGACTTCCTGGAGTATGAACTGACCCTCTGGGGTCATCTGTCAAGTATATCCCGACAAATAAATATGTATTCCCGTTCTGGACAAACGTTGGGGCTCTCCCGGCAGGCCCATTTCTTTTTTGCGGCCAAGCGTCGGAAGCCTCCTGACAATTTTAACTTGCGCCATCTCTTATTGAGCATGTAAACGATGCATACTTAGTTTTTTCTCCCTCCAACAAATGCCGTAAAAGGTGCGACACAATTTTTTTTTTTTTTTTTTTGCTAGACAAACGGGCAGGCATTTTGCGCGCGCTTTTGTGTGTTCAACATGGTAGCCTTTACTCCGTCCGCGTTTTACGGACCGGCCTGTGACTCAAGAGACAGTGAAGGTGATTTCAGCGCGATGAATACAGCTACGATCCTGAGGAAAATTCAGAGATACTCTGTGACAAATCTTCAGAGAATGACGGCAAGACGCCGCCGATCCTCGTCGATCCGCATACGACGCCGATCCTCCACTCGACATCCTACAGTAGAATCTCGATAAACGGAAATCGCTTAAACGGAATTGCTGCTTAAACGGAACAGTAGCCCGTAAGTTGGTTGGTTTTGTATTCAGATAAGGTAAAAAAACTTTCGGTAATTGGAACTAAAATTTGCGCTTCACTGTGTAAACGGAACCGAAAATAGAACTTCTGGCAGACCCATTGCCATGAGCATCAGCCCTTTCCGGTTCCGGCTGTTTCTTTTTTTTTTTCTTTTCTAGCCTCGTAAGCCTCGTTGGCCTCGCCTCGTTGGTAGTCGGCGCAACGAATGCAACACTGCTGTTCTTGATCAAGTCGTTCGGTCTCTGTTCGAGTTGCCTAGGTTACAGCCGCATCGTTCCTGCCGTCGTGGTGCCTATCGTGCTTCATTGCCGCGTTGGTGTCTTCCAACTTCGGTGGCTAGTAAGCGCTCGCGAAGTTGAGGCCTTGCCTCCGTTGTTTCAATGGCGACACAGAAGCGGGCACACCATGCGCTGACGTTGGAAAAGAAGATGGACGTCATTCTTGACTTCGAAAGCGGCTCATACTCGAAGACGGCGCTCGCGACGAAGCACGGCGTCCCGAAAAGCAGCTTAACGAGGATCCTGCACGACAAGGACAAACTACAAGATGCCTTCGAAACTTCGCGATTCGGGCCCCCCAAAGGAAGCGTCTGCGACACGGCGACCACGAAGAACTGGAGAAGTGCCTGGTTTTGTGGCTTAGGGGAGCCCGGAGCCAGAGCATTCCCATCAACAGCCCACTAATCCGTCCCAAAGCAGAAGAGTTTGGCACGGATTAGTGCCAAACTCTTGTTGGCTTAAGGAGCCAGAATCGGAAGTGTTTCTCCAAAGCCTAAGTGACATGGAGAAAAAGATTCTGAAGATGAAGATGCAAGGACTCAAACAAAAGAAAATTGA